GAATTATGAACTGGCCAATCTCAATTCTTTTCAAATTCCTACACATGGAATTGCATTTATTGGATGAAAGTGGTTAGCTGATGTTCTCAGTCAGTGAATGGACAGTGGGATCAACTTCAGACATGCTTGTCTGCAGAAGCTTAATGTAATTCTGGTAAACAGGCACCCTAGTAAGAGGGCAAACCATTGTGAAAGGGTTCGACCCAGTATTGGGAAAGAGAGCCAGGGTACTCCTGGTATCATAACCACTAAAATTGACATCCTAAGTCAAATGCATGGAAAATTTTAATAAATCTTGCTGTACTTGGCTTAAGTTGAGTCCTTTCTCTCTTGATTGTAACTGGCAGTTGTTGAACAGAAATAAAGAACCTATTTTATATGATGCAAACAGTTCCCATTTCTTTACCTGGATGTTTCATTAATTTATTAATTAGGATGTGAACAAGGCCTTCTCCTTTATTTCTGCCCTATTTCAGTCTTATAAGTTTCAGATGCAAGAATACCAACTCCCTCATTTAGACACTGTGCCCTTGGCCTCACAATTTCCTTAACTGAAGTACTGAAAGTCTGCAGCATGTATGTGTCAAATTCTGCAAAACTATGCTGCACGTCTCAATCCATTATTCATTTGCTTGGATAAGAACAACCAGAGAAATTACTCTTGTTACTATGAAAGCAACTTGAAAAGGTGACCTTTAAGCATGATAGAGAAAAACGTGGATAGTGGATAAATATAGCAGAATAAGCCAGCTGTGCCACTGCATTGATTAAATATTTAAAGGTTCCACAAAGGGCAGGGCACATAGAGGTAAGGGAAGCTACAGTATTGGCGGGGACGAGAAACAAGAGGACAGGTGAGAATTACAATGCTGTCGGGACAAAGAAGTCCTGGAGTGCGGTAGATTATTAAAGCTGCCATTTAACCAGACTACAGATAGAAATTTAACTATACGTAAGAGAGAATTACATATGCATTGTGGCGTTATCCATCTATTTTTTCCAACATCTATACTTTTATGTTTCTTTAAAATGAAAATCACTTGCAGGTTCCTCACATTGTAAGATATCAGGTTGTATTCTACAACATTTAACAGGTTTTGAGATTTTAGTAGATGAAAATTAGGACTATTTACCCATACTTTTAATAAGTACATTACATGATCTGAACAATTTTAAATATTTCAGGAAACAAGTGATCCTCCATTATCATGCATTCTCTATCATATTTAGAAATTGTCTTTTTTTTTAAATCAAAGGATCATTTATCCCTTATGTACTAAAAAAGCTTGTCAACATTTACTCTGTACAATCTGTACTTGTTACAATGAAGACATCACCTAAATATAGGTTACATTAATTAAATACAGCAAGGTAAAAAAAAAACAACTTATTATGACACATTCTCAGGATAGAAGTGCACAGTTTCTTTAGATGTATTATGTACTCATTTTATTATCCTTTTCTTGTACTTATAATGTATCGGACTTCTACTTAGTGTTATACAACCAATGTTTTTTAAGTGATATTAATAAGTGTTTGATGCACAAAGGGTATTATTCATTAAACTGTAGTTTGTGGTGAGTTGCGAAATCAACGCTAACTATTCTGATAGTTGTCTGATTACCACAACATTTAGTGAACAAAAAATCGTACAATCTAGAAAAAAAAGATCTGGAATAATGTTGAGTACTATACTGTTCAACCATTGCAAAAAAAAAAAAAAAAACACACCCAACTATCAATAAAATAATTAATATGATTTTATTGAACTTTTGCATATCGGTACAAAAAGAAACCAGAAAATCGGGTTAGAATATAAGCGTCCAAGGAACAGACCCTGGTGAAAAGACAAGAAAAACAAGAAAAATTATCCAGGAATCAAACCCTCTTTTCTATGATTTTTTGCTGAAACATTAAAATGTAAGAATCAAACATTAAACAAATTATCCATCAAATTGGGTATTGATTGCAGCATGGACCATGGCGTTTATTTACTGCACTGTCCGTGCAGTAAGCAACATATAGATAAAACAAAAAGACAGCTTTGAGTCTTAACTACATGAGGAGGAAATTAACTGCAAATTCAGTCCCAGTTCACGGTAACACATGCTCTAAATGCAATAGGAAATATTCTCTTTTTATTGGTATAGATCATATAGACACACATTGAAGGGAGGAGACATGGAGAAAAGATTGGTCTAGAGGGAGACATACTTGATTCAATGTATGATAAGGAATATCACTGATAAATTAATATATATACAAATTAATATATCACTGATATCACTGATAAATTAATATATTGAATATATTTATATATCTATATACATTTACATGTAATTTAAAAATGCAATCACATGTTTGTCTGAATAAAAGGATAAGCATGCAAACAGTATTATGAGTCAACTGTATTAACCCCTTCCCGACCTCTGACATATCAGGTACGTCTGACAGAAAGTGGTCCTTAAGGACCGCAGACGTACATGATATGTCCGTGGTGAATTAGAGCACTGGAAATGATCATCGCTTCTAGCCACTCTAAAGGTATTGTATCAATGTTGACGAGGCATCGTGCAATACCATACCCCCGCACTGCCGGTCCGCCGGGTGATCGCTCCTCTGTTGCTCTATGTGGCGCCCAACAGTGAGGCTGAGCATTGGAAAGCATCAGGCAAGCACTCAGTGAAGAAAAATTTAATTTAAAAATAAATAAAAAAAAATTTCAATTATCCTCTTCCCTCCCTCTCCCTCCCTCTCCTTCCTTCCCTTCCTCTCCCTTCCTCCCTCTCACTCCATATGTACTTACCCGAACGCCACCGTTCCACCGCCAGCAATCAGTGTTCTTCTTCTATGGGGGGTCTGTCTGACAGCCCAGACAGTCCCCCTCTGGAAATTAGGACCTCCAGGGGCCATGTGACCCCTCTTTCCAAGAAACCCTAAAACCTGTACATGGGGGGTTACTGTTTTTTTATGGTAGACTTCGCTGAGCACAAATATTAGTGTTTCAAAACAGTAAAACATAACACAGAGATGATATTGTCAGTGAAAGTGAAGTTTTTTGCATTTTTCACACACAAACGGCACTTTCACTGCTGATATTGTTGTTCTACGTTTTACTGTTTTGAAACACTAATATTTGTGTTCAGTGAAGTCTCCCACATATAACAGTACCCCCATGTACAGATTTTATAGTGTTTTTTAAAGTTACAGGGTCAAATATAAGGCCATGTTTTCACATTGAAATTTTTGAGAGCGTTCGGTAGCGCAGGAATGGGAATTACCCCCATGAAGGCATACAATTTGCAAAAGAATACAACCCAAGGTATTGCAAATGGGGTATGTTCAGTCTTTTTTAGTAGCCACCTAGTCACAAACACTGGCCAAAGTTAGCATTCATAATAGTTTTTTGCATTTTTAACACACAAACAAATATTAATGCTAATTTTGGGCAGTGTTTGTGACTAAGTGGCTACTAAAAAAGACTGGACATACCCTATATTGAATACCATGTGTTGTCTACTTTTCAAAAATATATGAATATAGAAAAAGTGTTTTTTTTATTTTTTCGTCATATTTTATAATTTTTTATAGTAAATTATATGATATGATGAAAATAATGGTATCTTTAGGAAGACCAGTAAATGGTGAAAAAAATATATAATATGTGTGGGTACAGTAAATGAGTAAGATGAAAATTACAGCTAAACACAAACACCGCAGAAATGTAAAAACAGCCCTGGTCCCAAATGGTAAGAAAATTGAAAAGCGGTCTGGTAACTTAGGGGTTCAAAATTGGATGAAAAGCACTTTAAGTGCATATTTTGTTTGTAATAATGTATAATTACATGAATATAAAGTCTCCTCAATAATGCAATTTAAAGTATCATGAAATCTTATTTTCATTTTTGCAGATAGAAACATTTTTATTTGGAATAAAAATTAGGGTGTATTGCAGATGTATATGTTGGAAGTAATGCATAAATATGTTAGGGATGTGAGACATGCGATTCAGGGGAGATAGAACACAAGTCACAGCCACGTAAAAAAACAAATGTTGCTTACAGTTTTGTCCACCTGTTCAAGATTTTAGATGTGCCTTGATACATTTTCCTACAGAGAACTGAAATGTCAATGTAAAATTGTGCAACCTTTTCTACAATGTTGCATTAACAAAGACGGCTATATACTTTTCACACAAAAAAAGTCATGCAAGTACTCTCTCTCTAGATATATATATATATATATATATATATATATATATATATATATATATAAATATATCTCAGAGGCATCCTATAAAAGTTATAAGGAAAAAGCCAAACCCCAAATTATATTTTACGTACATAAATAAAAACTGGGGTGGGCGTGTTAGTTATTGAAGGCCAGGAAAAGGCAGACATTTTAAATAACTACTTCTCCTCAGTGTATATTAAGGAAAAACCTTTGGCTAGATATATGCAAATAATTGCTGAAAAAAAACTTGAAGAAAAGTTTTAATTGTATAACTCAAGACAAGGTGCTGCAGCAACGAAAGAAAGTTAATATAAACAAAGATCCAGGGCCGGACGATAATTACCCATGAGTACCTAAGGAACTAAGTGTGAAATTAAGTGAACCTCTCTTTTTAATCTTTCAAGATCCTTTTCTTTCAGGAATTGTACCAGGATAGGAGGAAGGCATATGTGGCTCCTATCTTCAAAAAGGGTTTAAAATTCTTGCCTGGAAATTATAGACCTGTGATCTTATTTACGGTGGCTGGGGAAGTTTTTGAAAGGTTATGAAGGGATAATATTCAGGAATTCAGCAAAAATCAGCATGTATTAATGAAACATATTTAATTGCATGCTACACTAAAGTAAGTAAAACTAAAAAACAAAATATTCAGGGATATAATTTTTAACTTGTGGGGTAATAGCTTCTTGATCCAAGGGTATATCTGATTGTTTGTAGGGTTCTCTGGGAGGTGGTATAGCCTATCAAGTTGCAGTCCCTTTGCCTGTTTAGGCATTAAGGTAGGGGAAAGTAGCCTCATGATGAACTGTGGAAGCTCGCCAGCATCCACAGCTTCTAGGATCCCCTGGATTTTCAAGCATTGTCTTGCTGTATCCTCCAACTGTCCCACATTTGCAGTCAGCGCTGCACATGTTAGGATTACTTCATGCAGCTGAGCCGCTGTGGTGTCTTGCTTGAATCCAAAGCTGAGAACAGTTTCCTCCGTTGAAGTCATTCTACCTGCTGACACCTGTTTTCAGGACAGCCATTTCTGAGGCCATGTAGGCCTTGATCTCCATTACCATCAAGGCAATGTAGGTTTCTGTGGCCCACTGCAGATCGGACTTCCGCTGGGGAACTTCTTTGCCACTATGGGGGTGTGGCTGAAGCTCTTCCAGCTCTAAGTCATCCTTATTGGAGGCCGATGTGGAACCGCGTGGTGCGTCTGGCTTTATGTCTGCCATTTTAGGCCTGGTCGGCTGGGAGAGTAAGAAGCCAATATCTCGGGTATGGCTGCCGCGCGAACCCGAGATTTGTGCGAGTACTCCCACATGAGGGCAAAACAGCTCACCCAAATGGAGGATTTTTTTTGTCGACAAAAGCGTCGATGTTCCTGAGCTCAGGATAAATGCGACTGCTCCGTTTGCTGGCTAGTTCCACCCCCTTGGGCTGATGTTTTATATAACTTTTTAAAAATTCTTGGCTTAACTAAATATAATTTGGCGTCTTGGTGGCAAAATTTATTTAAGAAAGGTGTCATTTCATCATAAAGAACAAATAATATTCAATATTTTCTAATTTTGTGTATTAAATTATCAAATAAAATGTATTACTAATTCATTGCATTTTTTCTTTAAATTTAAAAAGGTTATAAAATCATTTTGTATGTTATCTAAATTTTCTTCCATATAACTTTTTCTCCAAAAAATATTTTTCTTCATCCTTCAATCTTTTGATTCTTAAAAAAATGTCTTTTGGATACTCATTTTAGCTGAGCTTTATAAAGACAGTCATATAAATACAACTAGACTTGAAGATTTGTTTCAGGCCGAACTACAATTCAGATTAATTAAGGCCAAATGGGTGTTTGACCGATATTCTGATTTCTTAGCCACCACATTCCAGAATCTTGGGAAAACCACCTATGCAAGCCAGAACATGCTCATTCTGATCATGATTTAAAGTTCTGTTCCTGGCACCTAAAAAATAGTAGGTGGAATGGAGATGAGGCTGGTTTTTTTGTTGTTTATTTTTGGCTGGGTCTTAGCAGCTTAGTTTGCCATGCAAAACAAGAGGTCTTCCCAATTATGCAGGCTGTATTTCTGTATCGAGAGCTAGAAAAAACATGATTGTTGGTTAGAGGACAGTCACTAAAAGTTAATTTTATTGTCAGATCAAGTAACAACTGACCAATAGATGGAAAAGGGGGAGCATTAAAACAATCTATAATGCCAAGCAGGATTTTTCCAGACACTTTGACTGCTGTTACTGAGGGAGACAGACCAACAGAAATACTGTTCATAGGTCATTGATTCTAGTGTGTGACTAGATTTAGCTTACCACTGTATTTACCTAGAAATCTACTACCAGGAACACTTAAAACAACTTTCAGTGAGAGATAGGAAATTGCCATTTTGTCATTGATCTTCGTATGAGACGAGATTACCAATATACATTTGTTAAAAGGTTTTTTTTTTGTTTTGTTAACTGTTATAGGCAAATCAAATATTTTTTTCTGGTGGGTAGATGTAATGTTAAGTAAACAGCAAGAAAAAAAAGAAAAATTTTTGTCTTGCCTTGCTACTCCCACTTTGGCACTCACAAAAACTTTGAGTGATAGATATCTTGCTTCATTCATTGTAGTGTGACACCTTTATTTATGTCTAGTGAAAAGTTACACTGCTAGCCACTGCCATTTAACACGAAATATAATCATCAATTTATAGTTTGACCTTTTTTGTTTGTTTGTTTGTTTGTTTGTTTGTTTGTGTGGGTGATATGTTTTGAGACAGAAAATTCCTCTTCTGGAAGAGTATTATCTTTAGTAAAAAATAATGAAATATAGGGATGTGCAAGGGGAAAATATTCGGTTTGGTTCAGCATTACTAAATTCGGGACTTCGGCAATTTGGTTCACTTTGGTACTTCGGCACTTCGACACATCAGAACTACAGCAACTTCGAGACTTCGGCACTTCGGCATTTCAGAATTTCAGAACTTCGGAATTTCAGGACTTCGGCACTTCAGGACTTCTCTTGCAGCCGCTTAGTAGATAACTCCCTAATTCCCACGGTAGACATGCCCCTACTTGCGATATAGCGAGTAGGGGCATAATTTACTAATACTAAGTAGACTTTACTTAGTATTAGTAAATTTGGCTGAAAGACCAATTTAGGTCTTTCAGTCTTTTGGTAGATAGCTACCTAATACCGTGGGAATTAGGGAGTTATCTACTTATTCATTCCTGTCATTCCATTGACTGGCTAAGTAACTTACATTTTATATGAATGTGTGTTACTTGATTGTTGTAAGTGTTGCAATTGCTTACAGCTGAATCCTGGCACTTTCAGACAAATTTACTAATACTAAGAAAAATGACTTAGTTTTAGTCAGTTCTGCCCCTACTCGCTATACCACGAGTAGGGGCATGTCTAGTAAACAGTGAGCAAGCTGTTATCTACTTATTCATTCCTGTCATTCCACTTCGGAACTTCGACACTATGGAAATTCAGCTATTTCGGAACTTCGGAACTTCGGCAATTCAGCTATTCAGCTATTCGGACATTCGGAAGTATCCGAATGTCCACATTTCCCGAAATTCGTCCGAATTTACATTCGGACCGAAAATAATTGCACATGTCTAATGAAATAGTTGCTTTATCCTAGCTACTGCCACATTAGAACTCACACAAACTCTGAGTGGTTGATACACCCTGCTTTATTTATTCTAGTGAGACACTGTTTTTTACATTTAGTGCATGGTAGCAATGCCACTAAACACCAACTTGGAATCACCAATTTACAGGTTGACAGTTATTTTTGGGTCATGTTTGGAGAAATAATTTTTTTATTTTTTTTTTAGTTTGTTCAGTACAGTGTGCGCTGTGCAAGTTTGGGAGCACTGCACAGTGCACTGTGTGCAGTATAGTGTTTCTATGTAAATCAACACCAACCCATTTTGCAACAGAGACAACTATTTTGGCATAAATTAAGTATTTTACTTTACAGATTACACAATCATTCATATCCACAATGTCTTATAATAAGAAATAACAAACCTACCATTGCTAATGTTTCATCCTAATCCCAAGAAGAAATTGAGTAAGAGATAGAGTAGTGGAGACTCATCCACCAGTTTTTTTTTGCAAAAATAAACTATATATTTATTTTTTTATTTTTTTATAAAACTTACACCTTTAATATGTGTCTGCGTGATAAAATTTGTTCTGACCCTTTAAATATTACTACTATAGTTCCTCTTGTTGTTTCATATTGTTTCCTAACATGTCTCATTAGTGTGGAAAATAGGTGGGACAAAAATAGTCCTTAGTAGACAGGCCAACCAACTAGCCTGCCTCCTGAGCTCTAATTGGCTGTTTGCACCAGGAAGTGGAGTTGTCAGAACTCCACTCCCCCTGGTGCCTGAGTTATATGTCTAACTCCGTCCCGTCCCTCCCACAGCTCCTCTCTCGCTTTCCCTCCCAACTTTCCAGTTCAGCTAGCTCCCTAGCACAGCTCTGCGACACCAGTTCTTCAGCACAGCTTCAGCTTCTCCCCTACCTCCCCAGCTCCACAGCACAGCTCTCTCCTTCCCTTCCAGCTCCCCAGGACCCAAGCACTAGAAGCTACTGCCTTTGGGAAAGAAGGACAGTGGCTACATGTAAAACTTATTTTGGGTCCCCAGCCCCCTGAAAATCTAATTTTTTTTGCAAGAGAGATTCAATCTAACATTGTACTGTAAAATACATTTTAAAAGTAATCCTTTAACATATATTGTTGCTAAATTATGCATTACACTTATAATTTGAATTTACCCTCAAAGTGGCCAACTTATTGAACTTGTTAATATGAATCTGTCTATATTGTTTATTCCCTATATATGTGGTTGTCCTCAACTTTCTGAGGTAATAGAGCCATACAGACATATTCCTATTCTTAATTAAAATTGTTTAGTCAAATCCATGTGTCAAGTGTAGCTCCCCATCAAGTTGAAGTATTATCAGCTACCACTGGGATCAGGGCCAAAATTAAGATCCCATTGGGCCTGGTGCTGACAATTATAATGGAACTAATTACAGAATCTTATCAACAGAAAACACTAAAACAGTTCCCAAGCGTCATGTATCTGGTGCAGGTGGGACTGTAGGGAAACTCGCAGGATATATCTATCAGAAAACATACCCTATGATAATCTCTCGCTTTCATCTTTCAAGTAAATCCATACCCCTTAACAGCAGTGTCCAGTGAAACAGGATTTTGGTGGGCGGGATAAAAGGGTGGGCCACTGATGTGAATAATCATGTAACGGAACCACCCAAAGAGTAAAAAATGCCCATAAGGGGGCATGTCTCCACAAAGCATGTCAGGCTGTCAACCAATCATGCAGGATGACCAGCCAAGGGCGAAGCACTCTGAGCTTGGCATAAATGCGTCTAATGATGCGCTAGTTCTACACTTTCTAAGGACGGCTCCCTAGCACTCGCTGGGCCACTCCTCTCCTAACCCTCTTACTAGCACACAGAAGCATCTGTTATACAGTCTGGGACAGAGAAAAAAAGTGTATGTAGTGAGTGTAGAAGAAAGGGAACATGCCACAGTGTTAGAGAGAATGAAGCAGCAAGAGCATTTGCATAGTGCACAAAGTCAGCTTTACCTTAACTAATTTAATTGTCAGTCAGTCCACACCAGTTTTGTTCCCCTACATCCCTCTTAAGTTTCCATACTTAAGCAAGAGCATGTAAAGAGTAGTTTTTAAAAAATAAATAAATCAATGGACCTATTCAATAGGCATGGGCCTGGAGCTGCAGCTCCATCAGCCTTTATGTTAATCCGGCACTGACTGGAATATAGTGATCCCAACTCCACCATCAGTGCCAGTGCCATGGTTTTTGAGAATCTGAACACCTCTTCCTCAGCTTTAAGGACTGTTAACACTTCCTCCACCAATGTCTTCACAGCTGTTATTCAAATATTCAGCCCCTGGTTATCTGTTGGCAGCATGGTTATCCATTTCTTCTGCTACTGCTGACGTGATGCACAAAAACACACTTTAGCAAACATATAGTAGGCAATCAGATGAATTGTGTGAAATTGATTGGGAGATTAAGTAGGCACCTGTCAGGATAAACTACGACCCAACACACATTGCCTAAGTAGTGACACAAGGTTTAATAAACCTGTACGTATTGCCTTGCCTTAGAATGGCTGGACTTAACATCAAAATAGAATAGTCTGAGACAAGCCAA